AAAAAAAAAAAAAAAAAAAAGACCCCAAATGCAACAGCAAAGATCAACAAGGGAAAGACTTCTACCTGCCTCACTGTGCCTGCTGATCCTTACAATAATCCCAAGGAGCTTTGCTTTCTAGTTGCAGCAGGAAATGGCATTTCCACTTATAATACAAGATATGGCTTATTTTACTTTCATCTGATCCCGAAAGAAGAGCAATAATAAGGTTTTTTTTGGGTACAGATCAAAGATTCCTTTAATTTACTGCTTTAAACAGCATTAGATTCAGCAGCCCCTCTGGCACAGGGCATAGCAGTGGAGTAGATTTTTTTTGCATTTAAGAGCCAAGTGGTCAAGTAGGCTTGACTGGAGTTAAGCCAGGTGGCTCAGCATGATTTCAACTCATGTCTTTCACAGCTGCTGTGATGTTCACTGCAGTTTTGTTATCCAAAAAAAAGGTAAAAATTGCACTATGTGGAGCAGAGCACTGAGCTGCAAGATCTGTGGCTTAAGCAGATGGAGGTTGAGTAGCTGCATTTACACTTATTCCACTGTTGTTGCAGGCAGAAATACGTAAGAGTGCATCACACATGGATAAGGAAATCATTCATACCACAAGACATCTCTTTCCTGTCCTACAGATGGATTTTGTGAAGGTCTGGTGTCTGTGGGAACTGATATTTGTCAGAACTGATGTCTGTGGGAACTGATAGACCCCAGCAAACTACAAATACATGTAAATAAAACTCCATGCATCGGCCACAGGGACAGCCATGGAGTAGCAATGGGTACTTGGATCCCTGAGGATCCTATTCTCCTTTCTCCACCTAATCAAGGTGCTTAAATCTAGAGCAAAGCCAATGGAGGTGATTTGTGGTCAGTGGAGGGAGGCATCTCCACAGATGATGCAGGGAAGTCCACACTTCAGCAGTAACCCACCATTTCTGGATGTCTGCTACATAGCCAGGATGATCCTAGAGCAGAATCAGAGAATCACAGAATATTCTGAGTTGGAAAGGACCCAAAAGGATCATCCAAGTCCAACTCCTGGCCCTGCACAGGACAACCCCAAGAATCACACCATGTGCTCAGGAGCATCGTCCAAAAGCTTCTTGAGCTCTGTCAGGCTCGGGGCTGTGACCTCTGCCCTGGGGAGCCTGTTCCAGTGCCCAACCACCCTCTGGGTGAAGAATCTCTTCCTAATATCCACCCTAAAACACCCTGAAACATCTTCATGCCATTCCCTTGGGTCCTGTCACTGGTCACCAGAGAGAAGAGATCAATGCCTGCCCCTCCTCTTCCCCTCATGAGGAAGCTGCAGACAGCTGTGAGGTCTCACTTCAGAGCTAAGAGTGTTTCCAGAAATGGATGATCCAGGCCTAATTTGTTTCACCAAGTTTCATCAAGCCCCAAAGTACATTTACTACATTGTTACAGTCACCAAAGGAAGAAAGGTT